AACCATATCAGTGGACCTTGAGTCCAGGCCTCTGCAGAGGCAGCTAGTGAGTTTGTGGGTGGGGTCTGAAAAGAAAGACACAATAGCAGATGAGGGGGAAACAGTTATCTGAAAAACAAACTTTAAACTTTCTGGTCGTTTAATCTCATTAACTCTATGGGGCACAGTTTCAGTTCTCCCCTGAGTTTTGATCACTTTTCAACCTTGAAGAATTGGGATGATGACTTCTTTGACTACTTCCTTATTGCCTCAGGCACGGTAAGTTTTGGGTAAAGAGAATTTTTAGTAATTCTTTTTTTTTTTTTTTTAAATTTTTAGTTGACTTCTACTTAGTTAACAAGCAGTGCCATATTGGTTTCAGGAGAGGAATTTGGTAATTCATCACTTATGTACAACACCCAGTGCTCATCACAACAACACTGCCCTTCTTAATACCCATCACCCAACTAGCCCATCCGCCACTCAGGTCCCTCCATCAACCTTCAATTTGTTCTTTTTTTTTTCCCTTTCTCATATGTTCATCTGTTTTGTTTCATACATTCCACATAGATGAGTGAAATCATATATTTGTCTTTCTGTGACATATTTTGCTTAGCCCAACACACTCTAGGTCCACGAATGTCATTGCAAATGGCAGGATTTCATTCTTTTTGATGACTTAGTAATATTCCATTGTGTATATACGTCACATCTTCTTTATTCATTCATCAGTCAGTGGACATTTGGGCTCTTGCCATAGTTTGGCTATTGTTGATAATGCTGCTATAAACATTGGGGTGCATGTGCCCCTTCAAATCTGTATTTTTGTATCCTTTGGGTAAATACCTGTTAGTGCAATTGCTGGGTTGTAAGGTAATTCTATTTTTAATTTTTTGAGGAAACTTCATACTGTTTTCCAGAGTTGCTCCACCAATATGCATTCCCACCAGCAATGCAAGAGGGTTCCCCTTTCTTCACATCCTCAGCAATACCTATTTTTTCTTGTGTGGTTAATGTTAGCCATTCTGACATGTGTGAGTGGTATCTTATTTTGATTTTGATTTGTATTTCCTTGATAATGAGTGATGCTGAGCATCTTTTCATCTGCCTATTGGCCATCTGGATGTCTTCTGCCCATTTCTTCACTGGATTATTTGCTTTCTGGGTGTTGAGTTTGATAAGTTTTTTGCAGACTTTGGATACCAACCCTTTATCAGATATGTCTTTTGCAAATATCTTCTATCCTGTAGGCTGCCTTTTATTTTGTTGACTGTTTCCTTCACTGTGTAGAAGCATTTTATCCTGTGAAGTCCCAATAGTTCTTTTTGTTTGTTCATTTGTTTTATTTTGTTCTCCTTGCCTCCAGAGACGTGTCTAGTAAGAAGTTGCTTTGGCCAAGGTCAAAGAGGTTGCTCCTGTGTTCTCCTCTAGGATTTTGATGGGGGTTTTTTGTCTCACATTTAGGTCTTTAATCCATTTTGAATTTTTTTTTTTTATGTATGCTGTAAGAAAGTCCAGTTTCGTTCTTCTGAATGTTGCTATCCAGTTTTCCTAACATCATTTGTTGAAGAGACTATCTTTTTTCCATTGACTTTTCTTTTTTCTGCTTTGCCAAAGATTAGTTGACCATAGAGTTGTGGGTGCATTTCTGTGTTTTCTATTCTGTTACACTGATTGTCTGTTTCTGTATCAGTACCATATTATCTTGATGACTACAGCTTTGTAAAATAGCTTGAGATCTCAAATTGTGATGCCACCATTTTGTTTTTCTTTTTCAGGATTGCTTTGGCTATTTAGGGTCTTTTGTGGTTCCTTACAAATTTTAGGATTGTTTGTTCTAGCCCCATGAAAAATGCTGGTGGTACTTTGTTAGGGATTGCATTACATGTGTAGATTGCTTTGGGTAGTATAGACATTTTTAACAATATTTGTCCTTCCAATCCATGAGCATGGAATGCTTTTCCATCTCTTTGTGGTTCCTTCAATTTCTTTCATAAATGTTCTACAGGTTTCAGAGCACAGATCTTTTACCTCTTTGGTGAGGTTTATTTCTAGGTATCTTATTGTTTTTGGTGCAGTTGCAAATGGAACTGATTCTTTGATTTCTTTCCCTGATGCTTCATTATTGCTATATAAAATGCAACAGATTTCTGTACGTTGCTTTTATATCCTATGACTGCTGAATTCATGTATTAGTGCCAGCAATGTTTTGATGGAGTCTTTTGGGTTTTCCACATAAAGTATCATGTCGTCTGCAAACAGTGAAAGTTTGATGTCTTCCTTGCTGATCTGGATGCCTTTTATTTCTTTTTACTGTCTGATTGCTGAGGCTAAGACTTCTAGTACTATGTTAAATAGTAATGGTGAGAAAAAATAATAATAAAAATAAAATAAAAAGAAAACAACAACAACAACAAAAAATAGTTATGGTGAGAATGGACGTCCTTGTCTTGGTCTTGACCAAATGGGAAAGGTTCTCAGTTTTTCCTCATTGAGGCTGATATTAGCTGTGGGCCTTTCATATATGTATGGCCTTTATGACACTGAGGTATGGTCCATCTAATACTACTTTGTTGAGGGTTTTTCTCAAGAATGGATGCTGTACTTTGTCAAATGCTTTTCTACATCTATTGCCGGGATCTTCTGTTCCACGGTTTTGTTGTTGTTTCTATATCATTTATTTCTGCTCTAATCTTTTTTTTTTCTTCCCTTCTTCTACTTGCTTTAGGCTGTATTTGCTGTTATTTTTCTAACTTCTTTAGGTATAAGGTTGGGTTGTGTATTTGAGACTTTTATTCTTCTTGAGATAGGCCTGTATTGCAGTATACTTCCCTCTTAGGACTGCCTTTGCTTCACCCCAAAGGTTTTGGACTACTGTGTTTTCATTTTCATTTGCTTCCATATACTTTTTTATTTTGTCTTTTAATTCCTGGTTAACTCATTCATTCTTTAGTAGGATATACTTTTTTTTAATTTTTTAAGTGTTTATTCATTTTTGAGCGAGCGAGAGAGAGAAACAGACTGTGAGTGGTGGGTGGGCGACAGAGAGGGAGATGCAGAATCTAAAGCAGGTTTCAGATTCTGAGCTGTCAGCACAGAGCCTGATGTGGGACTCAAGCTCATGGACTGCAAAATCATGACATGAACCTAAGTTGCATGCTTAACTGACTGAGCCACCCAGGCACCTCAAGTAGGATATTTTTTAACCTCCATGTATTTGTGGTCTTTCTAAATTTTTTCTTGTGGTTGACTTCAAGTTTCATAGTGTTGTGGTCTGAAAATATGCATGGTATGATCTCAATCTTTTTTATTTGTTGAGGGCTGATTCATGACCCAGTATGTGTTCTGTTCTGGAGAATGTTTCATGTGCACTCGAAAAGAATGTGTACTCCGCTGCTTTAGGATGAAATGTTATGAATATATCTGTTAAGTCCATCCAGTGAAGTGTGTCATTCAAAACCATTGTTTTCTTGTTGATTTTCTGCTTAAGTGATCTGCCATCCATTGCTGTAAGTGGGGTGTTAAAGTCCCCTACTATTATTCTAGTATCATTAATGAGTTTCTTTATGTTTGTTATTAGTTGGTTTATATATTAGGTATCTCAAGTTGGGGGCATAAATATTTATGATTGTTAGATCTTCTTGGTGGATAGACCCCTTAATTATGATAAAATGTTCTTCTTCATCTCTTGTTACAGTCCTTGTTTTAAAATCTAGTTTGTCTGATATAAGTATAACTACTCTGGCTTTCTTTGATGTTCATTAGCATGATAGATGGTTCTCCATCCCCTCACCTTCTATCTGCAGGTGTCTTTAGATCTAAAATGAGTCTCTTGTAGGCAGCATATAAATTGACCTTGGGGTTTTTTTTTTTTTTTATCCATCTTGATATCCTGTGACTTTTTAAATGTTTATTTATTTATTTTGAGAAAGAGAGAGAGTGTGAGAGCTGGAGAGGGGCAGAGAGAGAGAGAGAGAGAATCCCAAGCAGATTCCATGTTGCTTGATCTCATGAACAGTGAGCTCATGACCAGAGCCAAAATCAAGAGTCAGTAGCTTAACCAACTAAGCCACCCAGGCACCTCTGACACCCTATGTCTTTTGATTGGAGTATTTAGTCCATTTACATTCAGAGTGATTATTAAAAGATATGAATGTAATGCCATTGTGTTACTTGTAGAGTTGATGTTTTGGTGATGCTCTATGTTCTTTTCTAGTCTTTGTTGATTTTGGTCTCTCCACACACCACTCAAAGAGCATCCCTTAATATTTCTTGCAGGCCTGGGGTGCCTGGGTGGCTCAGTAGGTTAAGCATCCAACTTCGGCTCAGGTCATGATCTCACAGTTCGTGGGTTCGAGCCCTGTGTCAGGCTCTCTGCTGACAGCTAGCTCAGAGCCTGAAGACTGCTTCGGATTCTGTATCTCCCTCTCTCTCTGACCCTCCCCTGCTCACGTTGTCTCTCTCTCTCTCTCAGAAATAAATAAAACATTAAAAAAAATAAATAAAAAATATTTCTTGCAGGACTAGTTTAGTGGTCACAATCTCCTTTAGTTTTGGTTTGTCTGGGAAACTCTTTATCTCTCCTATTCTGAGTGACAGCCGTGCCAGATAAAGTATTCTTGGCTGCATATTTTTCCCAGTCAGCACATTGAATATATCCAGCTATTCCCTTATGGCCTGCCAAGGTTTTGTGGACAGATCTGCTGCCAACATGATCTGTCTTCCTCTGCAGTTTAAAGACCTTTTTGTTTTCCTTTGCTACTTTCAGGATTCTTTCTTTATTTGTGTATTTTGTGAATTTGACTATGATATAACTTGTCAATGGCTGGCTTTTGTTGAATTTAATGGGAGTACTCTGTGCTTCTTGGATTTCAATGTCTGTGTCCTTCTCCAGATTAGAGAAGTTTTTAGCTATTATTTGCTCAAAACTTCTGCCCCTTTTTCTCTCTCCTCTTCTTCTGGGACTCCTATGTTATTATGTTTTAGTAAGTTGCTAAGTGCCCCAATTCTTCCTTCATGATAAACATATGGCAGACTTCAGGAATTAGCATGTCGTCCTTCTGCAGATGCCAGGCTAATCTCTGTATCTTTCCACTTTTAGTATATGTGCTGCCAAAGCAAGCACACTTTTTTTTTTTTTTTTTTTTTTTTGGTAAATCTGAGCTGTAACAGGCCTATATTTGGGACTAAGCAGAAGTTTTTAATCTATAGGTGTTAGCAGCAAGGGAAATAGAAGCAACAAAGAGTCAGACATGCTAAATTTTTTCTTTTTATAATTTTCTATTGTCAATCTTTCCTCCATTTCTATTGAACAGGGGCAGAGGTGGTCTTCTGTAACTGCTTTAAGCCAAAATAGGGCACAGTAAGGGCTTTGGCATGGAAGGATTTAACATGGTACAGGTTGTGACTCCCTTATTCTAAGGGATGGGTTATCACAGATCTTTCCATATCTGAGAACTTGGATATTTTTCTGCATACTTTGGCACTATATGACATTATTAGTTTTATCCCCAAGTATACTCTAAGGAATAGTAACAGTAGAGTCAAACCCAGTTTTGTCATTCCCTCTGAAACTGATCTGATATGGATGCGTATCCAATACATCAGTAAACCTGTCCTAGCCACCTTGGAAAAGGGGGTGGGGGGGTATGGTGGTCAATGGCTTCTTGTAGCCATAGGCTTCCTGCTTGATTTTATATGGATTATTATTTTCCAGGAGGAGTTAATATAGGTGCAGCAAGTGGTCTTAGCCATCATATAGATTCTGCCTTGTTCAGCAAGCAATCAGTAATTAACAAGAGGCATTTCTATGGAAATAAAACAAACATAGGTTAATGGTTGGAGCAAATTATAAGCCCAGTATCTGAGTCCACATGCTGCCAGTGAGAAGATTTTTAGGTGTCAGGCTTGAAGCATCCTCAGATGGAGTGGGAGCAGACAGTAGCAACCTGATGGATTTTCTGTTTTGTAGTTCAAATGCTCCTTTTGAGTAGCCCATAGCAAACAGGCATGAACATCATCTATACATGAGCTATTGTGGCAATTTCTCTGAAGTTTATCTCAAGTTGTCCAACTTCAGTTTGCAGGGCTTCAGGAAAAGAAAGTTTTAGTTCTCAATGATTCTCAGATAAGAAAATGGGGAGAAGATTGTAATCTGTAGTTTGGAGAGTCATAGTCAGATATTTTAAGAAATCGGAAGAATACAGTGTGGGTCCAGTTTTATAGGAAAACAATAAACATTCAAAGATAATTAACCAGAAATAGAATCTAATATCCACAAAAATGTTTGTTGAAGTACAATCTTTCTCTTTAAACTCATCTTTATTCCTGTCAAAAATAGTCACATTAAGAGTAATTTGTTCATGAGGGCCGCCTGGGTGGCTCAGTTGGTTAAGCATCCAATTTTGATTCAGGTCATGATCTCACGGTTCATGGGTTCAAGCCCCACATCAGGCTCCGTGCTGACAGCTCAGAGCCTGGAGCCTGCTTCGGATTCTGTATCTCCCTGTCTCTGCCCTTCCCCAACTCATACTCTGTCTCTCTCACTCAAAAATAAATAAACACTATTAAAGATTTTTTAAAAAGACTACTTTGTTTCCAAAATAAGTCTAGTTTTCACAGACTTGGCCAAATTATTTGCATAAGCACAGCAAAAATAGTGATTGACCATATAGGGTTGTGTGTTTTTTTTTTTTTTTCATTTGCTTTTCTAGGACTTTTCATAAAGAATTTCAGATGGAAACTTTAACAGCTTTTTAAGGCCAGAAACCAAGCCGAATAACTTGCCATTAGATTTGCCTACAATACCTGTAGATTTGGGCGAATTTCTCTCTTTTCAAGGTCCCTCAAATATCCCGAGGTTCCTGCCCCCGCCAAGAAGTGACATCCTTTACTCACCTGGTGAGGCAGCTGGGAATTCTGTAAGCAAGGTATCAGGCCAGCATTTCCAAGAGCTCTATTAGTTCCTTAAAATCAATGTTAGCTCCTTAAAGTTATGTGATCATATCTTAGTCTATGCATGCATCTCTCAAATATGACATTTCAGTCAAAGCCTTAGTAATATAGCCAATGTATCCAATGGTGTCCTGTTATAAGAACATATTTTTATTGACTGTATGCAAATAATTATAATTGCCATTAAAAGAAAGTATTCACTGAGAGTTTTGAATTCTGGAGGGCTTAGTTATGGAGAAAAGGTAAATGCTTCAATTTTTTCATGAAGGAATATTTTATCTAATTTTTGTAAGTCATAGATCTCTTAAGAGAAAAAATTTCCTTAAACCTGGAAAAGCAAACCTGAGAGAACCAGCAATGTTTTAAACAAGAGTCATAAAAAAGCTATAATTGTCATTAATTCATTTAGTCCCATGTTATTAATTCTTGTTCTATTCAATGCAGCTTTTTCATTAGTTCTGGAAATTCTTAGTTCAGTTTTATGATCTTAAGGGTATCGGGAACCTGTTTTTGTCCTTTTCAGGAATCTCCTTAGGCTGAAACATATTTTGCAAGACCACTGGAACAGTAACTGTAAATGACAGGAGACTTAAAAATGGACATGGTTGAGACATCTGATAAGAGTTCCTTACAATGCAGTTGACAAGGAAATTTGGCTTTTTTTGTGATACACATTTTTTTTTTTACAAATAGTTTATTGTCAAGTTGGTTTCCATATAACACCCAGTGCTCTTCCCCACAAGTGCCCTCCTCCATGCCCATCTCCCCCCCCCATCAGTCCTCAGTTTGTTCTCAGCATGATAGACAACATTTTAATAATTAGAATTTTAAGTGATGACCTTATGGCAGGATATACTGAAATTTTAGGAATTTTACATAATTTCTGGAACAGTTACAGCATTTACCTACATAAATAGAACCTAAGAAGGCTTATCGTTATTTGTTTGACAATGTTTCCCATTTAACTCAACATACCAAATAAATAAGCCTAATTAGTCAAAAGGAAGACTTTATTTAGGACTTGGACTTGATGTCTGTTAAAGAACACACACACACACACACACACACACACACACACACACATTTTAAGCCCATGTCTAAACAGGATCACAGATCATTACAAAAACTTAAAACTTTATTATTTGTTTAACCAAGGTGGCCATAAGATTTTCTATAAAAGGTTATATAGTTGTTAGCAAAATTTAGCTCCTTTAATATTGAGAAGTTTTAGTTTTCTTTCTTGTTTGTTTTAATTATCTTTTTTAAAATGTTTATTTATTTTTGAGAGAGAGAGACAGCGCAAGCAGGAGACAGTCAGAGAGAAAGGGAGACACAGAATCTGAAACAGGCTCCAGGCTCTGAGCTGTCAGCACAGAGGCCAATGCGGTGCTCAAACTCATGGACCAAGAAATCATGACCTGGGCTGAAGTTGGATGCTTAACCAACTGAGCTATCCAGGTGTCCCAAGAAGTTTTCATTTTTTTAAGTAATTCAAGATCTGATAAGAACAAATACATAAACCTTGTTTTTCTGGGAAGATGGGAAAAAAACCTTTGTTTATAATTTCTGTTCAAGAGCAGACCAACAATCCAAAGAAATCTTGTTTTTTTGAGAAAAAACAAATCTCAGTCTTATACCAGTGTACTTCAAATATTCATTTATCCCATGGGGTGCCTGGCTGGCTCATCTGGTTGAACAACCAACTTTGGCACAGGTCATCATCCCAGTTCATGGGTTCGAGCCCCACATTGGGCTCTGTGCTGACAGCTCAGAGCCTGGAACCTGCTTCAGACTCTATGTCTCCCTCACTTTCCGCCCCTCCCCCACTTGCACTCTGTCTCTGTCTCTCTCTCAAAAATAAGCATTAAAATTTTTTAAAAAATAAAAATTCATTTATTCTTAGTCCAGACCATGCACAAAATTCTTTTCCTAAGATATCCTCTTCACAAACCTTCTACAACTTTTTTTTTCATTCAGACTCTATCCTAAGTTTCCCTCTCTAAATAAACAGTCCCCTTTCCCTTAATAAAAATGTATTTCATTCCTTATGTCTTTCTTACATATCTCCTATATTCCTACATATAGGGGTGCTTTATTATTGTCCAGCAGTCTTAATTACATTTAGCAGAATTTTAACTCTTAGAAACCTTAGTCACCAGTGAAAACTTAACTAGTAACAAATTGTGAACTGTTTCACCAGAATTGTTTCGACAGGCAAATTAATGCATATATTTCATAATTTTTAGAATTCTTTTGACTGGCAAATTTATGAGTGTATTTCATAATTTTTAGAAACCTGTGGTTTTTTTATAGTACAATTTTTATGCAAGCAGATTCAAATATCTTTAGTTTTTCTGTAATAAGACAAAACAGACAAACCTTGTGGTTTAGTAATTACTGTTTCAGTATTTTATCTTATCAGAAGAGACTTAGAAATCCAACGAATCCAACCCAATTTATCATTTAACTTAGCAAAATACCAAAGTTTTGGGTTCCCAAAGATTTTGGGAGCTATTTAAAAGTGTATCTGTAAACCTTCTTACTTAACCTATTGGCTCTTAACAATCACGCATGAAAACTTTATGAGACAGAAAAAAACAATCGTTTTCAGTCGCTTTTTGTTGGCAAATTGCAACTGAGACAACACAAGCCTGTTTGGCTTGAGCAAACCTTGGTAGAATAAAAGGTTTATATTTAATGAGGCTAACTCAAAAAACATGTTTGTTTCCATTAAGCCAACAACCTTGAAGTAGCTTTAATACCAAATATGCTGTACCCGTGTCCGCTCAAAAGCCAATCCGGTGGTTCCCCACAGTGAGTGTTACCTGGGGCTCCCACGGGCCGCTTATGTCCAGGAGAGCACGTGGGCCTCTTGATGCTGAAGGAGGAGGTACTCCAGTTTGAGCCTCCTAGGGAGGCGGCCCAACAGCTTGGGGTGCTTTTTTCCTCCTTGATAGTGAGGCTGGGAGGAGCAGGAGCCTGTGACGCACAGATGCTGCGGATGGAGTGGCGAGGGCTGTGCGAGCACCCAGCTGCTGGTGCAGGAGGAGGGGGCGGAGGAAGCGGCAGGTGTGCTGCTGGCGAGGCCGGAGGCAGATTGAAACTTTGGGACTAACAACAGCTTCCCCCCCCCCCCCCCCTACAAAACAGCCTTTTTCTCTGGCCAACCTT